GTTGTCAAGGGTTTCATTTTACTTGATCCCCAATCAATGCCCACAGAAACAGAAGTCAAAAAATCAAATGATGTGGTACCTTGAGCAGATCAGCTGCAAAGACATCTTTAAAACATAAAAAAAGCAAAGATATCACCTTGAGAACTAAGATGCACTGATTCAAGCCATGGTATTCTCAGTTGCCTTATATGCATGCAAAAGTTGGACAATGAATAAGGAATCCAAAGAAGAATTGATGGCTTTAGATTATGTTGCTGACAAAGAATATTGACTACACGATGCACTGCCAGAAGAACAAATCTGTAGAAGTATAGCCAGAATGTTCCTTAGCATGAGAATGTACTTTACACATGTTATCAGGATGGAGCAGTCCCTAGAGAAGAACATCATGCTTAGTAAAGTAGAGGGTAGGGTCAGCAAAAAAGAAGATGACGCTCAGTGAGATGGATTGACTACAACAATGGGCTCAAACATAGCAACAATGGTGAGGAGGTATAGGAGCAGGCAGGTTTTCCTTCTGCTGTATATATGGTTGCTATGAGTCACAACCAACTCAATGGCAGCTAACAACAGGAATCTTTACAGAAGTAGACTGCTACATCTTTCTCCTGCAAAGGCAGCTCAAGGTTGAACAGGTCATCTTTCAGTTAACCAAGTTCTTAACCATTGTGCCACCAGGGTACCTTGTTAGATGCAACAAAGAGGCAATAATTGACAGAATCCTTTAGGACTAAGAAAGAAATGGAGGAGACACACATAGAGCCAATCAATTTATTTGTTTTGTTTGGGCTTTACAAAAGAAAAAACAGTGTCTTAATTATCTAGTGCTGCTATCACAGAAATACCACAAGTGGAGAGCTCTAATAAAAAACATTAATTTTTTATCTCACATCTAGGAGACCAGAAGTCCAAATTCAGGGTGCTAGCCCTAGGGAAAAGGGTTTTTTCTCTCTTGGTTCTGATGGAATGTCTTTGTCTCCTTTTGACATCTGTGGTTTGATGCTCCTTGGAAATTCCCATGGATCTTGTCACTGATCTTCCTCTGGATCTATGAGGTTCTCAGCATAGGGGATCCTGGGTCCAATGAATGCACTTCTTTCTTGGTGGCAGAAAGAAAGAATGCATTCATTGGACCCAGAAAGAAAGAAGTGCATTCATTGGACCCTCTTCTCTGCTTGCTTCTCTTATAAGATAAAAGGTGATACAGGACACACCCAGGGTAACACCCATTACACATTGGAACAAAGCAGCAACCTGAGCAAGCGTGTTGCATCCCACCATGTCCCCCTTACAATTTATTGGGTGATCAAATCAGATGGCACCATGGTGATAATCACTTCATTATATAACTGCCAAGTTACATTACATAACTATCAAGCCACTGAGAATCATGGCCTAGCCACGTTGACACATGTTTTGAGGGCACACAGTTCAACCCATGACAAAAAGCTGTTCAGTTAACTTCAATAGGAAGTCAGGACCGAGCCCACCTCCTCACCTGGTCCCTCAGAACAGTGATGTGGAATTACTTGCGGATCCTTCCTTGACTCTTTGCCACTGTCTCTATGGAGTTTCTGAACAGCTCAGAAAGGATATTCCCTCCTCTAATCCTGATGCTAGGAGTCCTGCTGGTTCTGTGGGTAAGCATGTGCCTGCTATCTGAAAGGTCAAATCCACCAGCCGCTGTGGGAGAAAGTTGTGGTTTCCATAAAGATTACAGTGTTTCCATAAAGATTACAGTTTTGGAAACTGTACAGGGAAGTTCTACTCTGTTCTGTAGAGTCACTATGTGTCTGAATTGACTCACTGGCAATGGGTTTGGGTTGTTTTGTGTTTTGCTTTTTGTAAACCTGATGCATTTGGTTCACTGGATTCTAATGAAATTTGCAAATCTAAAAATCAGCCAGTGAAACCACTAGAGATCACAGCAATCTGCAACTAATAATGAGGATGGCTCATGATGGGACAGTGCTTACTTCCCTTGTACAAAGAGTCATCGTGAGTTCAGAGTCTACTTTATGGTAGTTAAGAAGAACAACCTTGCTCATGCTAAGCTTGTCCGTTGGATTGAGTAACTCTTACTCTTTAAGAGCGAACTTTTCATCCACACAACTGTCACGGTGATGGGGAAAACAGAGGGAAGAATGCAGGGTAACTTAGATATTATTATTTTTTTCCAGAGTTGAAGAAAGTTCCGAGCAACATTCCACCAGATATTGTTAAACTTGACTTATCATACAATAAAATCCACCAGCTTCGACCCAAAGAGTTTGAAGATGTTCATGAGCTAAGGAAATTAAATCTTAGCAGCAATGGCATTGAATTCATAGACCCTGGTAAGTTCCACTGAATAGACCTTTGCAGGTGACAGGTGTTCTTTGATTTTTCCTTTGACAGCATGTATAATAAATACAGCTTGTTGTTTGTGTTTCAGTAAATAATAAAAAGTATTAACTTTAAATTAAGCATGAACTTTTAATTGGACAGCTTATCACTACGCAAATATTGCCAAAATGTTTGCTGAAGTACAGTATATAATTTCATATGCTACAATTGACCTAAATAGTTAAGAAGTATTTTTCAGGACACATGAAGAGAATAAGAAGTAGTCAGAGGATAGTAATACGTAGAGGTAAATTCAGATTTGTCATTTTCTTTATCACTAAATATCAATTTGATTAAAGTAAATTTGTTAACAATCCACTAAACAGTAAGCTCATAAATTAAGATAAAAAGTATTCAAAGCAGAATCAGACATATCAAATCCTAGCTCAAGAGCAAACCTCTTTTTCATCTTCCAGATCCCTTCTCTGTTTTCCAACCAAAGGCTCTAGCAAAGATGCGTTTAGCAAACTAAGTAAGCTCACTGGAATTGGAAAGAACTGAGAATTACTATGATATTGATCTGATTTCTAACATACATAGATAGCACTTATTCTTGCCCAATTCTATTTCAATGTGAAAAATACAATCCACAAAAAAGATTATTAATACTATTAATAGAACTGTTTATGTTATAAACATTATAAGTAACTTGTCTCTTCTATTTTTCTTATTGAAAATTTAATAACCATTGATTTTAACATTATAGAAGTGAAAATCAAGACTGAAAGTTCTGGAGTGACAAAAGTATATTTAGCATTAATAACATCTTTTTAAAGTATTAGGAAATCATGATTTCATAAATTTCCCAAGGAGACAATATGATGCGCTTATAACTTAGCCTGGTGGGTAGTATAAACTGGGGAGTATCTTTCAATTGTGCAGTCAAGAGAGTGGGTATTTCACAGTAAGTAAGAATATACTGCAGACATCCTCTTCTCCCAAATGGAATGCCCATCATATTAGGGTGCATGTCTATCTCTGGTAGTCAACCTGCATAAATCCAGGCCAAGATGACAATGTGGATGTGGAGAGAGAGGCCCTCTCCCGCTCCCAAAGCACAGCAGGAAATGGCTCCTAGATGTCAGGCTCCTCCTGGCACTGTGTTCCAGAGCCATAGTTTACTGTTCAAAGTATCAGTACAGACAAGAGACTGACATTGGAGTAATTATGTTGTTGTTGTTGGTAAGGACCATCGAGCCGGTTCCGGTCCATAGCAACTCTGTATAGAGTTTCCAAGGAGTGGCTGGTGGGTTTGAACAGTTGACCTTGTGGTTAGCAGTCCCATGCTACATTGACGCACCACAACTCCAAATAGTTATTATATGGCCTCTGAAATTCAAGTGAACTTACAAAGTAGCGGATAGCAGTATAACAATGTTTTCATTAAAGCAGATGTGGCACTGTAGGATAAGCACTGGACTGCAAGGTCAGTTTGAACCTCAAGGTCAGCAGTTCAAATTCACCAGCTGCTCCTTGGAAACCCTATACAGGGTCACTATGAGTCAAAACCATAGAAAAAAATGAGAGAAAACAATGCAGAGAGGCTAAATAGTACCATGAAATGGATTTGCTTTACTACAGGTGATGTTTTCCAACATCAGTTCTGAATTGCCCACAGTTACTAAGATCCCTTTTTGATCTTCCATTCTTGTTGTTGTTAAGTGCCATCGAGTCGGTTTTGACCCATAGCGACCATGTATAGGGTTTCCAAGAAGCAGCTGGTGAACTTGAACTGCTGACCTTGCAGTTCAAATGGCTTTGCAGTCTAGCGCATTAACCCACAGCGCCACACCAGGACTCCTAAAGACATTGAAATCTTACACTGGTGTGTTTTCCTGGTTGACACCCAATGTGTTCTCTGTTCTTAGCCCTTCCCATTGCTGTTGAGTGGGTTCCAAGTCATAGGACCCTATAGGATAGAGCAGAACTGCCCCGTAGGGTTTCCAAGGTTGTACATCTTTCTTATGTGGAGCAGCTGGTGGGATAGAAGCACAAATGTTTGGTTCAAAGCCAAGTGCTTACAACTGCACCCCCAGGGCTCCAGTTTAGTCCCATGAAAGACTTCTACATTATCAAATATGTATTGAGCACCTACCAAATGCCAAGCAATTCACCTGACACTTTCTTCTAGAACAAAAGACATCTAGAACATAAGGCTAAAATGACCTGAAGGAGCTTTAAAATAAAAGACTTATATTCCCTAGCCTTTGAGAAAAACACTGTCAAAGTAGGCTTACTTTAATGATGTATGTTGGTAGTTATACAAACGCAACCAGAGTGCCAGTCTTTAAAAGGCATGAATAACAACCAAGTAAAATGCCAGACATTGTTGCAGAAAGGGAAAGAAGACACTCTGCTTAGGATTTTTACCTCCTTTAAATTACACATGAGAACTAGTTTTCCAAAATGCCAGAATACATATGGTTTAAGTAACAACTATAAAGCTTTCAAAATAAAATCTCAGAATGTTTACACATGTGTCCAATCTGAAGGGCTGACTTTTTTTTAAGAAAGTAAATTTGTGAGACTCAGAGTTTTAGGAAATTGAAAATTTTTTTAAGAAGTAGATATTCAGAGCTATCATAACAAAGGCTGGGTTTTTGCCACCATCCCTCAGTTCTCAAGCCATTGTTTTATACCAAAGTTGTTCTTTGAAAAGTACTCCTTTTAGGGGTTATTATGGGCTGCTAAAGGACCTCTGTAGCATAGTGGCTGTGAATTGGGCTGCTAAACTCAGGGTCAGCAGTTCGAAACTACCAGCTGTTCCACGGGAGAAAGATGAGGCTTTCTGCTCCTGTAAAGATTTATAGTCTCGGAAACCCTGTACCTCACTATGAGTCAGAACCGACTGCACAGCACATAACCACCACCACCATGGGCTGCTAACCTCAAGGTTGGCGGTTTGAAACTACCAGCTGTTCCGCAGGAGAAAGATAAGGCTTTCTGCTCCCGTAAAGATTTATAGCCTCGGAAACCATGTGCAGGGTCACTATGAGTCAGAACTGACTCCATGGTACTTAACAACAACAACAACAACAACAACAACATGGGTTTTAAAGAAAAAAATATATGAAAATTGTTAATGGGATTTGTCTGAGAACACATTTTCCAAACTCAATATAAGGACACTGTGTGCTCTAACAAGAGTATTTTTAAACAGTAATGAGAAACATGTCTGAAACACAGGCAGTCCCCATGAACAAGATCCATTTCTAGTGTGTATTTAAGTCAAATTTGTAGTTAAGTTGAAACAGGTGTATATGGTTCCTATTTAACTTTACTTTAGATCAGGGATGGGGAACGTCCGGCCCTCGGGCCATATAAAGCCCTCAAAATCATTTGGTCTGGCCTTGCCAAGGCAACTAAGTTCCAGTCATCCCATTGTTGTTTTTATGTGCCGTGATGGAATTGGTTCCGACTCATACTTGTACAGGGTTTCTGAGGCTGTAAATCTTTACGGGAGCAGAAAACCTCATCTTTCTCCTGAGGAACAGCTTGTAGTTTCGAACTGCTGACCCTGAGGTTAGCAGCCCAATTTGTAACCACTATGCTACCAGAGCTCCTTACCATTAGGGGTGAGTTAATTAGATGTTTGACCAGATATAGCAGGCTAATTTTTAAGTTGGTAATTCTGTATGGCCCGCGAATGATGTTACAAATTTCCGCAGAAAAAATGTTCTCCACCCCTGCTTTAGTGCAAGAAAAGGCTTGAAGCCTTTTCAATGATTTAAAAATGGCTCATGCAGCAAGTGAAAGTGATGGTGAGGAAGAATTTGTTGCAAGTAGGGGTTGGTTAGATGGTTTCAAAGTGAGGATAAATTTACATAACATCAATGTATGGCAGGCACTGAGAAGTTGCCCAGTAAATTGAATGAACAAAATATTTGACATCAGGATTGGCCCCTATATCCTGTATTATCTTGTTGGCTCACATCAACTTAATAGGGATAATTTCAGCTTAGAATCCTTTGCTCTAGGAGGAAAAGGAGAGCTTTCTGTTGTTTTGTTTGTATTTTATGTGTTTAAATATTTGTTTTAATCATCTACCCCCTTCAACCGAATTAAATCCATATGAATTCAAAGTTGATCGATACCACAGTTTGCTGAAACATGTCCAGATGCTTTCAAAACATTGGTACAATTGTTTGCTTTTGGACTTTACAGGAGCATAACCCCCTACCCCATCCCCAAATTGAGAGAGGCTGCTTTCTCGATATTTTCAGAATTTACTGATATCTGGAGCTGTCAAATGTTTGACATATTTTTATTTTTCTAATGCATTTAGGTTTTACATTTGAAATATTTTCCTAATTCTTATCCTTTATTGTGGCATCTTTCCAGGGAATGAAAAAAAAAAAATTCACATATGCCCCAAATGTTTTTTTAGAGGTAATTTAAAATGGATTTTTTTTTTTTTTTGCATAAAATATATTCTAGTCCGTCTAATCAAGGGAAACACTTTGAGTAAAAACATATTTCAGAGTTTTGCATCTAGACATGTATACACCATATGGTTGCATTTACCTTACTCGTTGGTTTAATGAATATTTTCTGTTTATAGCTGCTTTTGTAGGGCTCACACATTTAGAAGAGTTAGACTTATCAAATAATAGTCTGCAAAACTTTGACTACGGAGTATTGGAAGACTTATACTTTTTGAAACTCTTGTGGCTCAGCGATAACCCTTGGAGATGTGACTACAACATCCACTACCTGTACTATTGGTTAAAGCATCACTACAACGTACACGCTCATGGTCTGGAGTGCAAAACGCCTGAAGAATACAAAGGGTGGTTTGTGGGGAAGTACATCCGGAGCTACTATGAAGAATGCCCCAAAGACAAGTTACCAGCGTACCCTGAAACATTCGACCAGGATCCCGAAGATGATGAATGGGAAAAACTACATCGGGATCACACAGCAAAGAAACAAAGTGTAAGAATCATTATTGTGGGATAACTCAAAACTGGCTCTGGTGGTAGCTTGTTTTGTATTTGCCATACTAGTGTCAGAGAATCTTGTGTTTACATTCTGATGAACCGTGTTGCCTATTTATGCAGGATCATCCAGCTAAAGGAGGGGTGTCTTTAATTATTATTGTTGTTGTGCAGACTGTAGTAACCAAGGGAGTATGCTCATCCTGCTTGCCTGTCTGTCTGTGGAGCAGCCTGGCATGACACTTGGATTCCACACTGGTAACCTGCAGGATTTGGGTCCTAATGATGACATTAGTAGTTCATAATGTGCTGTATACATGTTTTTGCTGCTTTTGAAAATAATAATAATAAAACTCGGTTCATTTTTATATGCCTTTGGATGTGAGTTTGTAGATACCCAAGGATGATAAAAATGAAGACACAAATACTCAGTCATAATGAAATGTAATCCTCCCACTTAACCTTTCCACTATGTCAGTGTATGTGTTGAATCTGTTTTCATTTCTGCTTACTGTGCATTCCAAAATGACTTCCTAATAAACCCCAAACTCTGTCACTCTTAGCTGATCCTTGCAAAAAAAACACTGTCAGCTAGACCTGAACGAGAATTTATTTGAAGCAACCAATCGAGAATATGAGAATTATATGGGAGTCTGGTCAGCAGATGGGACTCTGAGAAGTAATTGAAGCTGGTGTGAATTAGGATCCCTCAAGCTGTATAAATGCCAGTGATGTGCAAACAGTTTTGTACTTTGAGCAAGATTCAGACTCAGAAGCCACTTGTCCGTGGGGAAGGGTCTACTACATAAATATGCCAAGGAGCATAAAATGAATGGTGAAATTAGGATTCAGGGTAAGGATCTGGGATGAAGTAGAATCAAACAAGAAGTTATATCAGAAACAACTAACTGAGGGAGTGGACCATACCCTAGAGAAACAGATCACCAAGAAAAAAAGAGAAATATTTAGAGAGTGTAATGCCCTGACTTCATCTGTTTGCAATTAAATGTTGATTATATTCTACATAGAAAGATAAAGTAAAAAGAAATATGTATCTGCCCTTAGTGAAACACATCATTTTTTTCTTTTCATGCTGAGTTGGACACATTTTCATTTTTTCATATCCTGGTACTACTACAAAGCTTAACAACTGGTCTTATTTGATACTTGTATAAATTCTCTCAGCATAGAAGATGATATGCTACAAATGTTTCACTTCTCATTTTTACAAGATCGTAAACTTTAAATTTACCAAGATTTAAAGTTTAGGTAGCTTGAACAAAGCCTCAGCTGACAGGTAGCAGGACCAGGCTCCCGGTCAACCTAGGTCTTTTCTACTGTCGAGGGCTGCAGAAGATTCTGAAAGTTACCTATGGCCCATGGCTACCTGGTGTCAGAACCTTCCAGAACCAGAATCAAAAAGAGTGGTGGTAATGTGCCGTGGAATTGGTTCCAACTCATAGCGACCCTGTACAGGGTTTCCGAGGCTGTAAATCTTTACATGAGCAGAATGCCTAATCTTTCTCCCACAGAACAGCTGGTAGTATGGAACTGCTGACCTTGAGATTAGCAGCCTAATTTGTAACCCAAACTGTTAAGCCTTTCTTCACAGGAATATCCAGGAGAGAATCTGGCAGAAATCTTTGATTTAAGTCATTTAAATCAACAGGAACCAGAATACTAAGGGGCAGGAAGCTGGAAGAATTGTCAGAGCTAGTAGTTCAGAAAATTGCAGGTATTGTAAGATTCCTATCTCTCAGCAAGGAGCCCTGGACTTCAATGAACCCCAAGGTTGGCAGTTCAAGTAAACCAGCCACTCCTCGGAAACCCTATACAGGCTCACTATGAGTCAGAACTGACTCAACAGCTCTCAACAATAACAACCACCACTTAGCAAGGAGCCCTGGTGGTGTAGTGGTTAAGTACTCAGCTGCCAAACAAAAGATCAGCAGTCCAAATCCACTCACTAGCCACTTTGCAGAAGAAAGATGTGGCAGTTCGCTTCTATTAAGATAAGCAGCCTTGGAAACCCCATTAGGGTCCTTACGAATTGGAATTGACTCCACAGCTACAAGGTTTAACCTCCATCTACTTTACCAGTGGTATGTTAGGTCAGGAGTGGAGTCTTAGAGACGTTCATCCATGCATGACTCAATAACATGAAAATCCCCACAGCTGTGAGGCATTCGAGGTTGTGGCAGAGTATGAAGTGTTACCAGAGAAATGGAACAAATTCATTTACTGTTGTTCAGGAGCTCTTAGAGTGGAAATTTAAGGACTTGGGACCTGAAACAGCCAAGAGTTGATGGTGGAGAAAATCCAAGAGGACTTCAGTAGAAGACCAGAGCCACAAAGGGAGGCATGAGGGCACCGGGAAGAAATGAAGACAGTTCATCTTAGTCAGATAAAGGGCTATGTTACTCTCTAGTTTAACTTTTGGAGGTTATTTGGGGGTTTTATTGGTTGTTTTTTATATTCAGTTTCATCCCCAAGGATCTATTTGGAAATAAAGTGTAGAACACAATGCAATAGAAATCGATCCAAGCCATCCATAATTCAGTTGGAGTTGCTAGTATATCTCAAGGCCAAAACTGAAGTATATTATTTGATAGATTAAGATCTGCTCTGCCTCTGAATTCAGGTTTATACTTTTCTAGGGAAACATATTTGATAAGGGATTGAATGAACAGTTAGGCACACCCTCTTCTCCAAAGTTCCTATTTGATAGTTGCTTTAATAATTTGCCTTTGGACTACCTTTCTGCTCAGTGGATGAAGTGAGGATTTTTTTTTTTAATAAGCATATTTTATGGTAGTCAAATATGAAAATTCAGAGATAATATGAGTACATCATTTGAACATGTATGAACAATATCACTTAAGTGTTTTGATAAAATAAGCTCTTTCCATTTCTTCCTAGTCCTGATTTTCTGAAGTTATTAGCATTTACTGTAAAATGAGGCCTCCTGAGTCCTAAGCCTGAGTCAGCTCTGACCTAATAATAGATGAACTTACTTTTGCTAGCAAAAGGAAAAACTAGTACTCTTGCCAAATGTTTGTGAAAATGTTTTAGCATACACTCTGCACACTTAGCTATCACAATATTATGAGAGACATTGCTCTCCCAGCCTTCTAAACATTTAAGACATCATTTAAAGTGAATTCTCTTCTAAAGTCTTTGTACACATAAGGTTCACAAATACAACTGTTATAGTCATTCAGCCAAACAGCCCAAAGATCAGCCAATATTTATCTTCAGTCAACAAGCAAAACTCCTTGCCATTAATAATTCTAACCACGCCAAGAGATGCACTTAACTTCACTAGCAAGAAGAAAAGCTAAAAAAAACATCTATGAGGTTGACTTTTACCCTTTTTTTGTGGGGGAGGGGGTTGGGGAGGAGTAGAAGTGAAGGGTAAGATTGGGACTATGGATACCTCTTAGCTAGGACCTTGTCGCTGTAGGAGTTTAATGCTGCCATTAAGTAGGTTCTGATTCAGCAACCTTTTATAGCATTTCCCGGGAGTGGCTGGGGGGTTTGAACCATCAACCTTGTGGTTCAAACCGATCTTGCAGTCAGGTATTGTATCCCACAGTGCCACACCAGGACTCCACCAGAAACCCGATAATCAGGGTCTTAAATGATTAGGCCTATTGCTATTAAATACCCCTTAACAACAACAATAAGAATTTCCATGAAAGTAAAAGGAAGTGGCTGTTAGAGAAGGTACCACCTAACCTTTACCTCCAAGGTAGGTTGTACCCTGGCAGAATTGTATACAGACCCAACCCAGAAGATTTCAAATGGCCTTTTTTTGTTTTGTTTTTTGCCCTATGGGTTCTATAAGAGTCAGAGCTTCTTTAGCAAGATGCTATATTTCTAAATTTAATAGTAATAATAACTCCAAGGTATTAAATCCAGTAAGAGCTGACCAGATTATGAGCACTTTAATTGCTTATAATTGACTTCCATATGTTCTAAGACTATAACCAAGTAATCTTTCTATTTATACTTTTCTTTGTATGTGTTTAATCAAAGCATAGGAAAGGGATAAATCATTTTAATAGGATATACTTACTGACAGATCTCAATGTTTTTGGTTTGAGAAAACAACCACGAAAATTCAAATGCAGCACGTTTAGACGCCACCTTTGCAAAGTAGACACCACATATTTATCGATAGGCATACATTTTAGAGTGGAAAAGTCAATCTAGAAAGAATAAACAAGAAGCATTAAGAAATGAGAAATATCTGTTTCAGGTTCAAATTAAAAATATTCTAAAGTACCGAATACTGACACCATTCATCTGTCAGATTGTTGTTGTACTGTTAGGCCTAGCTGTTGGTATTTCAACTGCCAGAAGTGTTACCAATGGTGGACAGGTTTCAGATTTCTTCCTAAAACAGACTAGGAAGAAATGGTCCATTTCTGGAAGAGAAGTCACAAAAAACCTTACGAATAGCACTGAAACATAGTCTGATATAGTGCTGGAAGATGAACCACTCAAGTTGGAAGGTACTCACAGTATCACTGGGAAAGAGCTAGCTCATCAAACTAGAGTCAACCTGTGGTCCCATGATTTACTTGATCTGGCTCACTGGGTAGGATCGTGCAGAGTGAGTATATCCTCTTTTCCTGATGGGTCTGGGTAAGAGACAGTGGGGGAAGATGCTGATGGAATTGTATGAGTCAGTCATGATTGACTGTTAACAGGGTTAATTTGTGATTGTAAAACTTGGATATCTAAAGAGGGGATTGGCGAATTTTTCTGTTTCCACCTTTTAGGCATTGTGAATAGTGCTGCAGTGAATAATTGTGTGCTTGTCTTTTTTGAGTCTCTGCTTGTATGATATTTAAATCTAAATAACCATAATCATTTATGCCATTAGTCAATGCTGTAACAGCAGCATTTTCCCTGTTGTCTGAAGTCCAGGCAACAGGTTACTTCACCACCCTTCCTTACTTGCTAACGATGAAAGAATTAATGATATCATGTGGTCAGACTGACCAATAAATAGGTGACTTTGGGCCATTCTTCAGAAATTCTAAAATAGCCACAAAGAAACTAAGAAGAGTTGGCAAGTTCAGGGATCTAGCTCTATAATGAACTCATCATCTTTACGTTCCATTCTTGGCTGCGATGTTATATTCTTACCCTGAACGTCAACTGCTGAAAGAGAATATTCTGTGGAAAGATCCTGCAGTCAGCCAAAGCTTCCATCTTAGCTCACAAATTAGGTATTCTTGTCTAAGTTCATTTTTAGTCAAATGCAGTGGTTCTCAAACCATGCATCAGAGTCATCTGGAGAGATTGTGAAAACAGATTACTGGATGCTACCCTCAGAGATTCTGATCTCAAAGACCTGGGATGGGGTCCAGGAACTTGTGTTTCCAAGTTACTGGCTGATGCTAATGATGATGGTCCTGGGACCACACTTTGAGAACCACTGGTTTAAAGTATTGAATCTCTTACGTATGTGACATATTAGAGGTGTTAATTTTTGCCTTTGAAAAATCTATTTAAAAAAAGGAAAAAAAAATGATTTCAAATGATCTGGAAGAGAAAGAATGTGCATAATATTAAGATCAGGGCAGATTCTTCAGAAACCTGACTAGAGTTATAAAAAAAAACAACAACCAGTGTTTCTGTCCAGAATCTCATTGGGTAAGACAGCAAATATGATCACATGACAGTGAATAATAAAGCCAGAATAAAAAGATAAATTCAGCATATTTTTCTTTCCACAATTGTGTGCTGCCCCTTACCTTCAATTATTTCATCTTTATTTGTGAATTTTCAAATGCAGTACCTTTGTAAACAAACACTTTTAGCACAAAAAAATAACATTGTTGAGAAGACAATGAGAAATTGAGTGTTCACAAACTTAACTTTTTAGCTGAAAACTTCAGTGTTACAGTATATCAAACAGTCCTGGCCACTAGGAGCACACCAGTATCTCTGTGCTCTTCAATTGTGTATACTTTAGTTTAAGAATGGTGTGGGGGTGACATCTGACCACCTATGATTTCATAAGGGGGGTAGAAGAATCAAACTCAATATCAGCCCAAAGCCAAATTCTATGAGGCTGAGATCAGAGATACCTCCTCCAATCTTCCTTACCAGTTCTGTCACCAACTGTCTCTCTCACAGCGCTCTACTTCTCTGCTGGGTTCAATAATTCATTGTAATGGACACACAGAACTCACAGACAATACTCACTATTACGGGGCTTATTAGGGATTTAACAGGTTAAAATTCAGGATCAGAAATATTCATAATCCAGTCATTTGATCTCAAGCACCACTTCTCAGCCATGCCCAAAGGCAGGCCTGTCTCTGGTCCATGGCCTCTCAGTGACATCTCCTTGTGGCCTCTCCCTTATTTGGGCACTGCTCATAAATGCCCAAAGGATGCTCCACTCTGCCATAAGCCTCAGCCTGAATGGGCTCAGCTCTAGCTCTGTGGGTCAGCAAACCTCCCTCCCTTAATTAAGTGCCTGGAGGCACCCCTTTCCACAAGCAAGTCTCCTACCCGAAGGCGCTCAGTTTTATTCACTCTATATATAGGATGAGAACCCACAGCCCTGTCTTGTGCTCTAACTCTTGGTTCTGCTGTTACCACTCCTCTGGTGTCACAGCTCTCTGTCTCCTGGATCAAGGAGGTTCAGCACACAGGGATCTGAGGTCTTATCCAGGGCTGGGGAACATCTAGCCCACAGGCTGTATGGTGGTGGTGGTTATGTGCAGTGGAGTCAGTTCTGACTCATAGCAACCCTGTACGGGGTTTTCAAGGCTGTAAATCTTTACAGGAGCAGAAAGCCTCATCTTTCTCCTGTGGAACAGCTGGTAGTTTCAAACTGCTAACTGTGAGAGTAGGAGCCCAACTCATAACCACTATGCTACCAGAGCTCCTTTCAGGCAGTATAAGTAAGGCCCACAAAATCATTTAGTCTGGCCCTGACAAGGCACCCACAGCTTCAGCCATCACATTAGGGGTGAGTTAATAAATGTTTGATCAAATATAGCAGGCTAATTTTCAAGTTGATCATTTTGTATGGCCTGCGAAGGATGTTATAAATTTTGACAGTAAAAAGGTTCCCCACTGCCTGTCTAAAGGATGCAATCCACTCCTGGTTCTTCTTTCTCAATAGTAGTGAGATCCGCTATCCCTGCTGCTGAGATACAGGATGGCAAAATTGACCAATCCCCGCACTAGAGTTCTATATACCATATTTGCATGGCCCCGCCCAGTTATTTGAGGGGCATTACAAAGACTAAGGCTAAAAGAGTCATACCAAATAATTCACTGCAGCCAAACTACCTCATGATCCAGGTACACTGAGATCACATTATTTTCTCTACAATGATCCTCTCAGAAGTATGAGCTATGAAAAGACCATTACAAACCACTGTCTTTTCTATAGACAAGGAAGCAGTAATAGTCTGTACTCATATCAAGAAGAAAGATATTAATAATGAGCCCCGTATGGGCTCCAAACCACTCAGTATAATGAGGCTTCCTGTTTTAGTCCAAAGATAATACTAAATGTATTCACATCAATTAAATTAGAAAACATTAATAATGTGTTTCTTAGGATAACATTACTGTCTTTTCTAGCTCTTCCTTTGGGCTTGTGCCTGGACAAAAGGAAAACAAAGCACCTGTAGCTGGTGGTTTCCCAGGGGAGCAGGAAGGAAGGCAGCCCTCCTACACTTGTCTCTACAGAGTCCATTTTCCTTTAATAGCTAGGATAAGAAATGGGACTCAAATTGCACATACTTACAGCATTCCACAATGAACTTGTTTGTGTCATTAACATCCAAGAATGACAGACTTGACCACATGCAATCAAATCTCTTATACTGAGGTGTCGGAAAATCTAAACACAAGGAAAAGAAACAGAGACCTTTGAAAAATATGTGAATTTTGATGTAACTTCCTTTTAGCACTTCTGTGTTAATAATGTAATACTTACACATTGCAGCAGCAGGTGTTTAAGTACTGGACTTTTCTCTGAAGATAGGAATTTTATATGAAATACTGAAATGCACCTATGAAAGCCTTTGCTATAATACTAGACTTTTAATTTATATATAATCCTAGGGAATTAGTGAACTGAAATGCGTTTGTGAATACAGTCTTCTGGTGAGGAAATTAGGCTGATTTGTTTTATTTCCTGGAGCATTCTACTAAAAAATGAATAATTCACCGTCAAAATGCCAAGTGTTCTTTGTGGGCCTTTTTACTCATTAAGGAAATATTTTATCCTGTTTATTCAAGGGCTGTTCTTAACAGTTATATTTGTGGATCTGGATGTTCACAATCACAACAGACAAACTTTGTGTTCACTGTTACCTAGAGAATCAAGATCTCATGTGAAGCATTTTAAAATAAATTTATAATGAATGTGGAAAAAAACCAAATAAGTTCCCTAAATAGTAATTAGTACATGAAAGGCATCTAATAATTGTTTGCTGATGAATTGAGTTCTTTTTAAAATTATAGGACTCCCGGTAAAAATAAACAAACTCAGCTTTGTTCTGTTTCTGACAAAATTGAAGACTAGAAATACTGGAAACCCTCTTGACACAAACCATCAGTAAATGCTAAACATTAAAAAAACTTTTAAAAGCACACTTTATAAACTGAGTTTTCAAAAATGTCAGGGAAATCTTTAGGATCCCAATCCTTGTAAACGCAGACTGGTAATATGGTGCTATGCTGTACTTAGGAGGACAGTGGCTCTGTAGGATCAGCACTGGGCTGCACCTCAGTAGTTCGAGCCCACAAGCTGCTTCACAGGAGAATGATGAGACTTTCTGCTTCTGCAAAGAAACAGCTTCAAAAGCCCAATAGAGGGTTGCTAGGAGTCGGTAACACCTCACAGTACTTCACAACAACAACATGCTGCACTTGCTTGGGATGGAGGAGCAGAGGAAATCATTGCTACTTTTCTTAACAAATGAATTAATTTCACTGGTTGTGAGGGGACCCTAATATTGTTGTCATTGAGTTACTTTCAACTCACAGCAACCCTAAAGGAAAGAATAGAACTGCCCACACAGGGCTTCCAAGGCTATAATAGTTACAGAAATGAACAGCCACATCTTTCCGCCTTGGAGCAGGTATTGACTTTGAACCACTGACCATTCAGTTAGAAGTCAACTGCTTAATCACTATGTCACCAGAGAATGTTGTTGTTCTTGTTGGTAAGTGCCATAGAGTTGTTTCCAACTCATTGCAACCCTATTATAGGGTTTCCAAGGAGTGGCTGGTGAGTTTGAACCTCTGACCTTGTGATTAGCATTTCAGCACTTATCTATAACAGCACATAGAATAATGTTATCAGGCCAATACGAATCAGGGAGTTGCAACTGAAGAGAGAAATAAATCTCGTATTATGAAAGAAAAAGCTAGGAGAAAAAAATCCATCTATAGGCAAAAGAGGAAATACGATTCCTAAACTAGATTGAAAAACAAATACTCCCCAGAGAACTTGTAAACCAAAAACCATGGTTTTTATATGTGAAAAACACAAGTTTTTACAGAAATCATGTAGGTTGAGATTTGCATTTTAATTATTATAGGGTCCAATTTGAGTTCCTTACTTTTGTAATTGGTTTTCACATATTAACACACAAAAAGTTTCCAAGCTGGTAACATCTCTGGGACATTTGGCAAAAATAAATACTATTTTATATAAAGAGACCATCCTCAAGCCCAACCTTACAGGATTTCCACTGACCCCACCAAAAATGAGCTTTCAAACAAAAATTACAAAACACAAGAGGGAAAAAACAAAACAAAAACAAAAACTCAACAAGGGTTAAAAGGAACAACAAAAAAAAATAGCTTCATGAATAAATTATAAGGTAGTGTTTATAAAAGCGTTAATACGAAAACAAGCAATAAAAAGAAGAAAACTTAAAGAATGTTGATTGCTGTTCTGGTTTTGGAGGCAGCAGAAGCAGAGTCAGGTAGGACAGGCTCTGTGGGGCAGGGGCTAAAAACCCAGAGAAGCTGCTTTCCTGGAACAGCGCCAGAGCTCTGGATCTAGCATAAGGTGCAGGGCGTCAGTTTCCCGCACCCACCAGTGAAAAAGTCACTGTATAAAGGAAAATATTGTGATTCAGAAATCACTTGGGACATGGGACTCTTTCTGTGGCCACCCAGCCTGGGCTGAGTTCAAAGGGCGGGGCCACAGCCAGACAGCCACAGTGAACCAGCTCTAAAAGCTGTGCAGTGACATTAGCAAAAGGAAGTGTGGGGGGAATCTACACATTTCTTCCTCCTCTTCCCTGTCCCACCCTCTCTGTCCAGCCCAGATGCTTTCAGGTGAGTGGACACACACCCCCAAAAGGGTCCAGCATTGAGTCAACAGTTTTCCCATGTCACAGAGAGGAAGAGCCCTATTAGTCCCATGGGCTGAATCTTTGGCAGTTGCTTATGACTTCTGACTCTGGGACCCAGTCCTAAAATTATCTTCTGCAGGACCCTTTACTCCTGCCTACCCAGCAGGAAAAAATGCAGGTCTGGCCAGACAGACAAACCATATGAACACTCTGTAAAACCCCAACATAAAAGGATGCAACTATTTCGAGAATTACACTATGCACACACAGATACCTAACTGACCTTCAGAGACAAAAATAGTAGACAATCTTTCTCCCATTATCTTCTCGATATCTATCTGTGCACCTCTAGGCTTGCCTGAGTAAGTGAACACTCCCACCCTCTGCTGGAGGTTTCTATGGTGAATGCACAATACGTGCACAGCAAAGGTGACTGACCAGTCGCCTATGGTTTTATTTTTGCTTTAGAGTGGTGGTTTTTGTCTCTGCTTTTATATTGCTTCTGGTTTTGGTCCTTTTAATCACACTTATTTCCTGGAGGTGGTTTTGAAAGAAATTTATTAAACTTTGAGATGATATATATCATGACCCAGAGATGTTACCACCATAAAACCACTGTACATGTGCAAGAAACTACATGTGCAAGAGTACTGACCACTGCAGTGTTTGCAAAAAGGAAAAATATGGAGCAACCTGAATAACCATCAGCAAGAAGCTGAGTCAATTGTAATATGGTCACTGAATGGAACTATATACAGCTGAAATAGAAGTACAGGGAACAACATGGGTAAATCTAAGAAACAATGTTGAGAGAGATAAAATGGCAGACCGTAGAAAGATCCATTAATTTTTTTAATATGCAAAAACTAAAATATAACTTCCTGCGGTAACGAATTACCATAAATTTAGTGGCTTAAAACAACATAAATTACCTTATAATCCTGAGGGTCAGAAATCCAAAATGGTCTCACTGGACTAAAAGCAAGGCATCAGCAGAGCTGTGTTCCTTCTAGAGGTTCTAAAGAGACTCTGTTTCCTTGTCCTATCCAACTGCTAGAGGCTGCCCACACTTAACAACTCATGGTCCCCATTCAGCCAGGATTGAATTGCTCCAGCTTCACATCTTTTCCAACTCTTTTGTCTTTCACATAAAAGGGCCCTAGTAATTACACTGGACCTACCCAGATAATCCATCATAATCTTCCCATCTCAAAATCCTTCATTTAGTCATATCTGCAACATATTCACAGGCTCAAAGGATTCTAATTTGTCTCTGTGTAAGGGAATGATAAACACTAACATTAAGAGAGCAGTTTTGCTCTGAGGGTGGAAAGGAAGAGTTCAGGAAGACTTCAATTGTATTTGTTTTATTTGTTTATTTGTTTTAGGCAGATTGGTTCATACACAGGTGGTTCAAGGTGTTCATTGTGTAATTAATACATTTTTTTATGTCTGGAATATTTTATTTTAAAACTTCCTTTTTTGTCCACATGCACAGCTTGTTGTTAAGTGACATCAAGTCAATTCCAACTCACAGTGACACTGTACAGGGTTTCTGGTTGCCACTCCAGGAGTCTATGCCACTAAGTAAGTCAGCCCATTGAAATGACCAAGAAGGCTTGGATAGGTATCATGGTAGACCAGGAGCTCTGAAAACTGTACACCTTTGCATTTGCTTTGCATGAGGGTAAGTAAAAAAGTATTGCTACTAAAGTTCCAATGTGCACAAGTTTATTCCAAACAATATTCTTTTTGTTGGGAAACCTAGCCCACCTACCCTGTAGCCCTGAACTTGCCCTTTCAAACATCTTTTTGTTCTTTAAGTTCAAAAATCATTTAAGAGGAACACAATTTGAGTCCCTCAAGGATGCCAAAACTGCCATTTTGACATGGTGTAAGTCAAAAAGCACTGAATTCTTCAGAGAAGGCTTAGAGATATGAAAGCACTCATTTCAGAAATGTATAGACCTAGATGGAGCCATATTGAGAAACAACCGGTTCATATTTTGATACTTTGGTTTAATAAAAGTTTCTATGATTTTGTAACAATATTTTTTCACTTCTACAGTAATTTTGAAGAGACAAGGAATACTATACCCAGAGAAGCAAACGAACTTTCAAAAAGAGAGGTAACAGCACAGAATCGCCGAAGTGTAGGACCACATTACTGAGAGCATATGGAATACAAGAACAAATAACGGCATCAGAGTTGTGTAAGAACACCTCCAAGAAAGAGAGAAAAATGAGGCAGGAAGGAAAGCCCTAAAAACAACAGCAAACATAGAAGTAAGTAATATAGAGTGTCACTAAAGAGAGCATCTCTAAGCTCCCTCAACACACATGTAGTGGACAGGGAAATCTAAGAGCATAGTGGCTCATAGTGGACCAGCAGGAAAGTCCAAAGTCACCGCTAATTCTCATCTACAAAATGAGTGACTGTGATGAGAAACCCCTCAAAACCTCTCCTCTATCTAAAATTTTGTCATTCATTGCCACTAGACTCATAATGTGTAACTGTAATGTTAAA